GGTTAGCTATCTGCCTAGAAATGAGCGTGGACGGAAGTCCATGGACAACACCCAGGACGGAAGTGTGAAGGTAATGACAGTTTTCTTCTGTGCGTCTTCTGCCCTTCCACGTTTTCCTTCAGTGAACACGTCTTTCTTTGGTTTGCTGAGACTTGTTTTGTTTTTGTTTTTCAGTACTAAAAACTGAACACAGAGCCTTGCACAGGCTAAGCAAATCTCTACCCCTAAACCATACCACCAGCCCTCTTTCCTTTTAAGACAAGATGCCTAGGTTGACCTCGAAATTGTCATCCCCCTGTCTCAACCTCCTGGAGTAGTTGGGATTGCAGGCCTTCACCACTAGGCCTGGCTCAAACATGTTTTTATAACAAAACTAAAGGTGTGTGTGTGTGTGTGTGTGTGTGTGTGTGTGTGTGTGTGTGTGTGTGTGAGAGAGAGAGAGAGAGACAGAGACAGAGACAGAGACAGAGACAGAGACAGAGAGAGCTTTGCATCGGCTCCACCACCTATAAAAAGCACAGTTCCTGGAGGTGCTCTAGGTACCCCAGTCCCTTCTGGCCTGCACTCAGTTCTCATTCCCAGGATCTGTGCAAACCTGTCTGTATCTCTGGTCTCGCCTCACCTTTTCTGGTCCCAGCATCTTTACACAATCAATTTCCTCCACCGGGAATGTTCCCTGTGGTCAAAATCCTATCCCTGCAGCAAAGACTCCTCTTTGAACAGACCCTGCTCCAGCCTGCTTTTCCCTGACTGCATTCTTGGTTTCAATACCCTTGGGGCCTCCTGGAGACCAATGTCTGGTCAGGCCAGTGGCTTCCTGTGCTGTGAATATTAAGTGCTACCATACCACCGAGGCTGAGTTGAACTGAGTATCTTAGCAGAGGGGCCGGCCCTGCAGAGAGCTGGCAAGAGAGTCCCAGAGAGACTCTGGCTGGCTCTTCTCCCTGAAACCAGAGGTTGGTATCCTTCCTTCGAGAAGGTGGGAAATATTGCCAGCCTGAGCCAAAGGAGGTGATGCTCTGGGCCAAAGCATTATTGCCTGTAGGCTTGGATTCCATGGAGCCGTCTGGTAACACCGAGAGGACAGCTGGTGGAGAGTTCTATCTCACTCACTGGGTCACCCATCAACGGTCCCAGTTTGTCCAGGACTGAGGAATCTCTCAGAATGTGGACTGGTCAGGGCACACAAGGAGGAAACCAGGAAAGGTGTGCATGTTGTTTTGAGGCTGATGTCACACAAGAGACACAGCTGTTGAATCTTGGCCTGGGTGGCCTGGGGTAATCCTGAGTTTGGGTCCCAAGACCAACAACATCTTAGACCAGCACAGGAACAACATGAGGAGCTGGGAGTCTCCTTAGGTCTCAAAAAGCTCTCGCTGCCCCCCCCCCATTCTAAGGTCCCTTCCCTCTTTAGACCGCTCCTGTCCTGGCCCTTGCACCTATGGATAGCCAAGATAACTGGGTCTTTTCCCGCTGTTAGACCCCATCCGTGTGGGTTTCTTTTTGTTTTTGTTTTGTTTTAGAGTAGTGTAGGAGCTTGAGACAGGGCCTCTGTGTGGCACAGTCTGGCCTCAAACTCTTGACCTTCATGCCTTAGCCTGCCAAGTGCTAGAACTATAGGTACTACCTACCCAGCTTGGGCCTACCCTTGTTTCAGGGCCTGGCTCCAGTCATCATCTCCACAAACCCCTCTACCCCCACACCAGCTCACAGGCTGTTCTCTTCTCTGCCTTTGAAGATCCTTGCTCCTCAGAGCTTAACTCAGGAGAGTTTCTTCACCTATGAGCTCCCTGCTGTCAGCGAAACTGCGGCTTACATCCTCCATGTATGCATTTACTCACACGGTAAGAGTTAATCTATCTGGCATCAGCTAATAGCACATGCTTTGACTTCCATCATGACCAAGTTGACTCCCTCACTTATTAACTGCTGTGCAACTCTGAATAGTCTGAATAGTCTTTGCATCTCTGGGTCTTGGTTTCTTAACATAAGACAGGTACCGCTCTCTCATCGAGTTCCACGATGTTAGAAGACTTAGCACTATAGATAACCGCAGCTCTTGGACCACTCCAGGGTAAACATATGCACTGCATGCCATCGTCATTATTGAGTCTACCAGGCGCCGGGTAATCTGGGACACCAGGAATACACAAAGGACACATCCAAGAACTAACCAGTCAAGTGTCGCAGGGCGACGTATAAACCGGCAATTGCACGCAGTGTGACTAATGAGGAAGGTATGGCCACACGGCAGGGAGAGTGGTTACTCAGGCTAGCCTGTAGGCAGGGCAGTCATGGGGAGGCATCCCAGAGCATGAAAGCCCAGAGCCATGATACCAAAATGTGTGGGAGGAGCTGGAGGAAATGGCTTATAGTGCGTGGTGACCGTCACTGGTCCTGGAATGGGGACAGTTATCTATAGGAACCTGGACAACCAAACAAAAGCGTGTAAGGAGAGAGCACTATGAGGAAGGGGGCCTCGCCCATGGCAGGGGACAGTCAGCTGGTGGTACTGGTGGAAGAATCAGTTGCATCTTATGTAGATCGCTCTGGTGGACTGTGGTGGGCAAATGAGGAACAGGAGACTGAAGGAGCACAAGCCAGAGCTTTCTGTACAGCCTCGGGGCAGCCTGGCATCCAGTCTGGCATTCTTGCTAGGGTCCTTGGATCCTGGCCCTGGTGGGACAGCTGCCCATGGTGCCTTATCGTTGGCTGCAGATTTCCAGCTGACCGCCTCTCAGGCCCCGCAGATCCATCCCCTCTCCTTTCTCTTCCGCAGTTCCGGCCCTGGACTCGCTCCGGCTCTTCCCACCTTCTCCGTTCTTCCCCCACCCCCCCGCCCCCAGAACAGCCTTGCTCTTGCCAAAGCCTCAACTCCCAACCCAGCTCTCCCAGACCAGAATGAGCCCATCCCTTCTCCCCTCAACCTCCCCACCCCACCTCATCGGGACTCCAGTTGCTCGGCTGAGACTTGCCCTGTCTCATTTTCCCATTGATGACTCATGGATCAGGCGGGGTGAGGCCCCAGCTGCCAGAGCAGGGGGAGAGTTGATGGCAACGGCCCCTCCCTGGCCTCACAGTGTCCTCGGGTCCAGCTGAGCAGTTTTCTCTCTCCCGAGAGAGTCTGCTGGCACTGTGAAGGCCTGCCTCTGTCACCAAAGGGGCTTTTACCATACAGCAATCCAACAGGCATTTCAAGCCTTTGCTCCTTCCTGGAAATCCAGAGCAGAAAGGGCACCCTGGGACTCAGGAAGCAGAGCAACCCCTTCCCCATCAAAGAGACCAAAACTCCCCTAAAAAGTCATTATCTTGAAATAGTGAATCGCTGTCTTTTGAATCAGTCCTGTTCTGAGTGCGCCAGACCTCTCCACGGGGAGGGATCTTGAGAACCCAGGGCTCTCCGAATATCGGTAAAGATCCTTTCTGTTGCAACAGTCTCCATCTACACCCATGTGCCAGGAGCCTGCTAAGTGCCAGGTCCACAAGAGGGTCTCCAAGGGTGTGCCTTAGAGGGTTTGAGATTCGCCTAGCAAAAGGACACACGGGTTGGCTTTGGGCAAGAACACACGCACACTTGGAACCAAGCTGGCATGTCTAAAGAAGCAAGGCGCTTCAGGAACCAGAGCACAAGCACCTGCCCTCTGCCCTTGACCCTCAGCACTGCCCATGTCCCGCTGCTGCCCTTTGCCACACAATGATCCCTCTCAGCTCTGCTGAGGCCAACGCTGAGCGGCAAGGGAACACTGCCTGGTGCGTCAAGGCTTCCCGTGCTCAGCTCTGCTGGCACCGGCTGCTACTGGTTGGTCTCCCACTAAACTCTGGCCTCCTAGGGCAGAGACTGGGTCGTCTATTTTGTCCCTCCATGTCCACTGGAGAGAGAGCAGGGTACCTGGTCCAGCAGGCATTATTTGGTGAACGATCGCACCTTGATCCCAAACCCATCCCCTCACAAACCTCCCTTCCTCCGTTTCTGAGTGCCTGGTGCCTCGCTTCTTTAAGCCTGAATCTCCACCCCCAGCAGTTCCTGGGCTTGATTGGAGTAGTCTGGAAACGGGCTGTTTCATAAGGATAGGGAAGCTAACCCTTTCCCACTAACAGCTACATCATGCAGGAGTGGCAACTTTCTCCCCTTTCCTGATGCATCCAAGTGCTGACTCCATCCCCCACAGAAGACATCATCAACTGATCACAGCACCTGGGATTAGACCTAGCCTGTATAGCACTGATCTCGGTCGGCATGGAAGGTGATACTTTTTGACCCGGTGGGATTAAGCTATCCCAGGGTGGTGTAGACTAAAGAGATAATGCAAAGGACAGTTGTTGGAGTGTTCCTTTGTAAATCACACACTCATATTCAACTGGGAAATGTTGTTTCCCTCCCCCATAGGAGGCACGTCTGAGGCCTGAGGGACATGGAGAGGAGAAAGGGAAAGTTTGATTGGAAAACAAGAGAAATGTGAAGGGGTGAAACATGAGAAGAACAAAGAGGTTACCAAAGAGATTCCAAATTGGAGGGGTTCCCTTGGCCTCACTGTTGCTTCCAGAGACTCTGAAGCAGGCCGTCGCTCTGTATCAGGGAGGGGGAGACTTGCTGGTTGTACTGGGAAGGGCCACAGCGGTCAGCAGCAGGCTCTGTCTGACTCCAGGCCGAGATTCCCCTGCATCTTCCCACGGAGGAATGAGTCCCTAATGCTAGCCACCAAGGAAGGCTTCCTCTATAAATGTGTGCATTTGCATGTGGATATAACAGGGAGAGAAGCCGACCCAGCAGTCAGAGCCGCTTCCCGGGTTAGCAGGGGCTAAGTAGCCTTCTACAGCGTCCGCAGGACTGTGACATTCCTCGGTCACACTGAGGCCGATGAGGCCGTGTCTACTGGGGGTACTGTGCATGGACCCCTCAAGCTATGTATTTCAGAGGGCCTATAGGTTGGGGAAGAAGCAGAAAGATGCCCCGAGCCCCGGGTGTCTGTAGTTAAAAGAATTTCACTCGGCAGACAGTGTGGTTACTGCCCACAGAATGGGCATCTTCATTCTGGAATAGGCATGAAATGGTAATGGCCAGACCCTTACCCCACCCCCACCACCTCCAGGCCCAGTACCACAGTGAGGAGAGGGCAACAGAGGTGAGGGAAGAAGTGTGCAAAGAGAGAGGTGGCTGGGGGGTCCCAAAAGGACCAAAGCAGCAAGAGACCCCCAGGCACAGGCCTCATGCCCAGCAGATCCCCATCTGCAAGCTAAGTCCAGCGGTTGTCCTCAGGTAGGGTGGCCATCTTCTGGATCCCAGGCCGGCCTCCTGAGTTCTGCCGAGGTCCTGGCTTAGCATTCCATGAGGCACTGCCCTCTTCCGGGCATAATCTCAAGGCCAGGGGCCAAACAGCAGTCTGTAGAACCCAGAACCAAGGGCAGGATCAGTGGGAGGGGCCTCGATGCCAGGTAAGCCTCACATGCTCCATCATGACACACGAGGCCAGGCCTGCGCCTGGAAGGCCTGGGCCGGGTATAACAGTCTCAGTGTCCAGGAACTGAATCTTCATCCTCAGCCCCTCATCGGCTCCCCGCCCCTGGCCGGTGGGCTCCTTCCGTGATGATATGCTTCTTCCACATGCTAATAGCTTCTGCCACGTCACATGTAGTCAGGCTCCAACCAACCGGAGTGGGCGGAGAAGCTGGAGAGAAAGGACAGTGTTTAGGACAGGGGCAATAGCTGATTTACCAGGAACTGGGTGCCTCACCCCAGGCCTTCCCAGTCTTTTCTACACCAGAACAAATGCAAATAACGTAGTCACTCCTGTGACCCACGGGAAATAGGTTCCAGGATATGCCTCGGACACTAGCTAAAATCTGGAAACTTCTTTCTATATCAGAGTGTAGTTTTTGCATGTAACCTACGCACACTTCCCATCCTGACATGATTGCTGTAATTTTTTAATACCTAACACAATGATATATATATATCATATATATATATATATATATATATATGATATATATATATATGATATATATTTGGTATACTATATTGTTTGGGAAATATTATCAAGAAACAAGGTCTGTAAATGTTCAGATAACATTTTTCCCCCAACTACTTTTGACCAGGGATCGGCTGAATCCACAGAGGAGGAAAGGGAGCTACAGAGGGCTGGCGATACACTGTGGCCACTGCTTCCTCCAGCCCCGCTCTGAGTCCTAAGGGGTCAAGGGGGACCCCTTCTTAGCCCAGCGGGTTTACTTTATATCCAGCTTCACTACAGTGTGTGGTGGGGAGACAGTGAACAGGAATCTCAGAGGGGCTGGAGCATTCGACGGGCCCCCAGCCTCACCTGAACTCTGCTCGCTGGTACAAACGAGCAAGGGGAGGTGGATGAGGTTCTAGGCGAGGTGTAGTCGGGTCCTGAGGGACAAAAGCTTCCACTGGAGAAGTTAAGGCCAGAGTTATATAAATCCCTCCTTGACCCAGCTCAGGTTCCCATGGGCAGGCAGTGGTATTTGGGGAAGAGGGCAAGAAGGCCAAGTGCCATGGCTTTCAGGTTCTATTCCTGGTCCCTCCCTTGAGCCATCCTAACCACAAACCAACCCTCAACCTTCCGTCTTACTGCTCAGGGAGGATTAAGACATCACAAATCATTCATGGCCCCATCCTGTTTCCAGCCATCCAGCCCCTCTTCCAGCTGCATCTCCTCTGGCCCAGCCGACCTTGGCCAACACTCATGGATAGACAGGCCCATCCATCATCCCTGGATCTGATGGCCTGGCTACAGCCCACCTCACACATCTCTTGCTCCCCCTTGCCCTCCCAATGGCCCAGCCCTCCCTGGAGCCCCGAAGCCACCCACAGTCAAGAATGAGTTGTTGAGTAGTTGGCTCAGTCCAGCCCTGCACTGAGGTCCCACGTGGGACCTCATGGGACGCCATGATTTTGTGCCCAAGCCCTTATAACTCCTTCGATAACTACAAGATGGCGAGTCTTCGCCTCAGTTCAACGCTTAAATTCTCTGACATGCATTCATTCTGGAAGAGAGTCATACAATGCAGGAGCCCTAGGCTGGGTGAAAGTGTTAAGCCCACAGGTCCACCACGATCAGTGTTCAACCAGTCTCTGAACTGGGCTCTTCCTCCCAGAACCCCTGTCTTCGCCTCAGATATTTGGGCCACATTAAGGACCCTCCTGCCTGGCACCCTAGGGAAAAGGCCAGCTCTGTTCACTTGGCCAGGGGCCCAGGCTTCCCAAACACACTGTCTGGGGATCCTACCCTCTGCTGGCTCCAGCAACCTTCCCTAGCTAGGGCTGTCCAGCTTTGGGAAACTGGAAACAAAGCTCCCAGTTTTCTATAGAGGACCGAGTGGGGGCAGGAGAAGAGAGAGGGTTCAGTGCTCTGGGGGCTTACCTGACATGTCCTCTGGGCATGGAGCTGGGGAGGGGGAGGGCATGTCGATAAAATGGTATACCTCGTGGTTTAGGACACGAGGGTCCCAGTCCCAAGACTCTGCCGGGCCCGCACAGTCTGGATGGCCTGTTGATTCTTGAACTTGACCAGGCCCAGGGTGATCTGAGCGTTCCAGCCGGGGTCTTCGAGGGGGCAGCGGAAGTCGATCTCACCCCCGCCCTCGGTCACCAGCGTGAAGTAGATGTGGCGCCCGGTGCTCTCCACGCACTCCACGGCTTTGATGCGGGCGAAGCTGAGCTCCTTGGGCCGGCCGCCGGTGCCCTTGGCCTCGAAGAGCTGCAGCCCGCGCTCGGTGAGCACGCAGCGCTTCCGCTTCCACAGCTGCAGCAGCCCGCCGCTGCGCTTCTCCAGCACGCCCTCCTTCAGCACGGTCGCCGCCGCCGCCGTCATGGGCGCCCCCCGAGGTTCCCGCAGCGCTGGTGGCTGCGGCGGGCGCGGCGGTCACCGGCTTTTCAGCGCCGGCTTCTCGTGCCCTGGCCTGGCTGGCTGCCCTCGCTCCCTGTCCAGCCGAGCCCGCGGCCCCGGGGGGGGGGGCGCCTTGCAGACAGCGGCGCCCGGGAGGCGCGGTGAGGATGCTGCTCGCTCGCCCGCCGCCGGCTCGGGACCCTGAGCACCGGCCCGACCGCCCCGAGCCTCTGCCGGGTGCCCCGCGCCTCTCCGCCCGCACGCCCGCTCCCCTGGGCTCGTTCTGCGCGCTGGGAGGCTGCTGGCGGGATGTGCCCTTACATGTTCCGCCGCTCGCCTCCTGCGCCGCCCGCCCGCCCGCCCGCCGTGCATTCCTGCCCCGCTGGCCCTCCCCTCTGCGCCGCGCACCCGCCCGGACAGGGCCCCGAGGGGCGGGGCCACAGCGGGGCTCGAACACCCACCGCCAGCGCGGCCCCGGGAGGGGGCTGCTTACTCAACAGCCAGGCCTCTGGCCTGCTGTGGCCCTTTCTTAAAACACAACCTCCCACTCCTCCACCCACCCACCCCCCTTCCCTGGCCTCTCACCCGGGACATAGGAGGAGAAGGGGGGTTGGGGTGGGGGAGGCCAGAAGAGGAGACGTGGGGGAGAGCCGAGGAGCGTCTCAGAGGAGAGATGTCACTGCCAGCCAGGGGCTGGGCCTGCTTGGCAATAGCACAGTGACACCATGGCATGGTGGGCGTCAAATACCCGCTGGCTGCTTCTCAAACCGCGGGAGTCCTGGTCCCCAGCCTCTGCCAAAGGCTAGTGTTGGGTTCCTCCACCATCAGCAAATGCCTGTCTGCTGGGCTCCCAGGAGGCCGGCCACGGCTTGGACCATCTATCCTCCCGCGTTTACCTGCTTCAGCCTAGGGTAGACATTAGAAAACAGCCAGTATAAAGTGGGGAGAGAGAAATCTTGACGGACCCCTCACGACTTTAGTGGGAAGTAGAGACAACGTGCTGTGGGCTTGGGGTGTCCCACAGGTCTCTCCAAGTACCTGAAGGTGCGCAGCACTCATTTGGAGGACCAGCCATGCTCAGCCTTGTGGCTTCCCTACAGATTCCACCCCGGAGAATGGGCTTCTCCCTGGACTAGACTGAGGGGAGACAAGCTTCTCCCAGTTGGCTTCAAACCCCTCTTCCCTGACTGCAATCTCTCCTGCCTGGACAACGGCTCTAACCTTTGACGTTTTCATCTGTCAAATGAGATAACTAATCGACCCTGATCTAGGAGGACCGTGGTGAAGAGTAAGTTAGAGACCTTGTCTCTGAGAATCTTTCAGCCATCTTCCTCCATGGCTCTCCTAGGACCTCACCTGGCCCTCTTGGTCAACTCCTCCAGGCCAAAGTTTCTTAAACACCTATTCATGGCCATGTTAATAATCAATGTCTGGGACTAATGATGCATTCTGATAACAGAAAGGGGACCCCTTTGTACTCATGCCTCGTGTTTCTATCCTCAGTGAGAAACTAACCTCACCGGGAGGGTCCTGTTGTGAGCCAGGGGGTACCGTCCCCTGCAGAACCAAACCAGGTGTGGAGGGAGAAACCTGCAGGTGTGGAGGGAGAAACCTGCAGGTGTGGAGGGAGAAACCTGCAGGTGTGGAGGGAAACAGCTGCCAGCTTCTCACCCATTGCCCCGCATGTGGGGTGCATGTACACAGTATCTGTCTGTTCTTCACCTTCTCCCTCAGCTCCCAACCTCCAGAATGCCACTTCAAGAGAGAGAACAGACAGTGTCTTCAGGACCCCATCTGCTAGCCATGCCTTGCTGTGGCTTTTTCCCACTCTTCTTTTGGGGTCCCCCAAGTTCACCAACCTGGCAGAATCCTGCCTTGGCCCAACCTTCTCTCCTTTAGCAAATGGGTGGTGGTGAGGATGGACGTGGTGGTGGGGATGGACGTGGAGGTGGGGATGGACGTGGCGGTGGGGATGGACATGGTGGTGTGGATGGACGTGGTGATGTGGATGGACATGGCGGTGTGGATGGATGAGGTGGTGTGGATGGACGTGGTGATGTGGATGGACGTGGCGGTGGGGATGGATGTGGTGGTGTGGATGGACATGGTGGTGTGGATGGATGTGGTGGTGTCTTCATTCTGTCCCATCTCTCAACACCTCTTCCTCTTTCAGTCACGCTTTCTGCAGCTACTGGATCATTCTCAAGACTTAAAACTTACAGAGCCCTCTCCCACATTTTAAGTTCTCATGAGAGATAGTTAATATTGTTTTGCTCACTTTTTCTCATAAGGAAAAAAAAATGAGACCGAAAAGTCAAGCAACTTGAATGGGATCTGCAGTTTTGTAAACAGTCTAGGATGTGAATGTACGATGGCCCACAGGACCCGGAATCTGCTGATGACGTCACGCTGCCTCTCCATAAACACTGAGCCCTTTTAACGAGTGACATGGCCACCCACACTTGCTACTTCCTGGCTGGGGGACTGGAGGCTTCTAGACAGTGCAGGAAGGGAGGGAAAGGTCAGCAACACTGGGTAGCAAGAGAGTGGGCATGGGAGGAGACTCAGTGGGCACAGTCTCCTGCTGGGAGGGTCTCTGCCCACCAACACATGGCTCCCCGTACCACATCGTACCACATCGTCCTAACAGCCTGAATCTCTCAGTCTTTGGACCCAGATACCCTGACCTGCAAATCGTGTGGCCTCCTGGGGTTAGGAAAGAGAATTCAGTTGCCCTAGGATTGGCATCTTTCCTGGAAGCCCCACCTGGGGGGCACTCAGGTCTAGGCTGGATTAGTTGAATATCGGGGGAAGAAGTTCTGGAGAGCAGAGGGTGCCGGGTGTGCCTCGCAGTCAGGGTTCCTGAGACTCCGCCAGGAATAGGAACCACTGCTTGGCCTGCTCAGGCCGCTGACCGGGAGACAGGTTGAGCCCCAAGATTTTGACAGGACTCTTACTGGCTTGTTGACTCCACATGGGACAGATGGACAGAATGTCCCCTGTAGCAACCCAGAGCTGACACCTCCCTTTGCCCGCACCAAATAGAAAGCTGATCTGCCCTGTCAGGCAAGCTGAGTCCAGCTGTTTGGGACTGACTCAGACCTCCTGGGAGGAGGGGGCAGGGAGTGAGCCGAAAATGGCGCTTAGTGAATGCCCCATTTTGCACACTGTGAGGGAAGGAGGGGGGCCATGTGGAGAGGGAGGCCACAGCTGGGGGAGGAGATACCAAGTGAAACATAGACGGTTTTATTTTTTTAATGATTTATTTATTTTTATTTTATGTGCATTGGTGTTTTTGCCTGCATGTCTGTCTGTGTGAGGGTGTCAGGTCCCCTGGAACTGGAGTTACAGACAGTTGTGAGCCTCTGTGTGCATGCTGGGCATTGAACCCAGGTCCTCTGGAAGAGCAGTCAGGACTCTTAACAGCTGAGCCATCTTTCTAACCCCCTTAGCTGGTTTTAAAAATAATTGTATTTGTATTTTATGTGTACATATACATGTGTGTGCATGGGCATCTGTGAGGGTGCCCATGGAAGCCAGAAGAGAGTGTTCCATTCCCTGGAGCTCCTGGAATTCCAGGCAGGCGTGAGCCGTCTGACATGGGTGCTGGGAACCAAACTCAGGTCCTCTGAAAGAGTGCAGTGTTCTTAATTGCTGAGCATTCTCTCCAACCCCAGAGCTATGTGTCGTACAATATCTGCATGAGTAAATTAAGTCGGGGAGCAATACATTGCTAGACAAAGCAACAGCAGTAAAGGCAATTTTGTCACCAGTGTAGAATGTATAATGTGGCAGGGTGATGCAGACCTGTAATAACTCACTTGGGGGGTAAAGGCAAAAGGATAAAAACTCAAGATTGAGCACGCCTTTAATACCAGCAGAGTTAGGCAGATCCCTGAGTTCGAGGCCAGCCTGAGCTACAGAGTGAGTTCCAGGACAGCCAGGGCTGCACAGAGAAACCCCGTCTTGAAAAACCAAAATAATCAATAATAATAATAATAATAATTCAATGTTGTTCTCAGCTACATAGTTAGTTCAAGGCCTATTTAGATATATGAGATCTGTCTAAAAAAATAAATGTTGACAATCTTTCAAAAAAAGGAATCTATATATACACTAAATTTTTTAAACTAACCCAGGCATAATGGTACACACCTATAATCCCAGCACTCTGGAGGCAGGAGGGCTGCTGCAAGTTTGAGACTAGCCTGGTCTACATAGAAAGTTCCAGGCTAGGTTGGGCTACATAGTAAGACCCTGTCTCAAAAAGAAAAAAAAAATTAACTATGTAAAACGACGAAACTTCTTTGCTCAGGATCCACGAGAGCCTTGTCATCGCACGGAGTAAGGCAAAAGTAGTATTAACTAGTGACGTCACCTGCCAGGCTACCCAGGACTGGTGGTCTGAGGCCTGCTCTGGCTTGCTGACCTCAACCTCCTTCCCCATAACCTTTGCTCTTTGCATTCTGATGGAAGAGAGAGCCCTCACCACATCACCACCTGGTCCTTCTTCACCTCCCTCAATTCTTTGTTCCAGTGCCTTTTCCGTGAGATTCAGACTTCCACCTACTCCCCAAAGACACGTCAGGTCCCCCTCTCTGCTTCATTCCTGCATCGCCCTCTCAGATCTGTGTTTCCTGTTTACCCACTGTCTGTTCTCTATTAGAACATAGGCTTTATACCAGCGAGAGTTTGATATTTTCTTCACCTTCCTAGCTCCAGCATCTAGAATGTCGCTTGGTTCACAGTACGGCCTTGATGAACATTTACTGATGAGAGGCCAAATAAAGCCCAAAAGCTGGAAGGTGAAACAGGGTGATGCTACCGCGAGCTAGTGAACTAATTAAAGAGGTCTACGTATACCACCTGAAATAGTAACGAAGCTAGACCTAACAGCTGACGTCTATAGTCCCCAGCACGCAGGAGGCTGAGGCCGGAGAATGAAGAGCTTCAGACCAGGTTGGGCTATCCAGTGGGTTCAAGGCTGGCCTGGACTACATAGTGACCATGTGTCTCAGTCTAAACAAAGGGTGGCTCATCCGGTCCTGTCACTTGCCATCAGACTTGGCAGCCTGAGTCTGATCCCCATAATCCACACAGTGGAAGGAAGGAGAGACTTGCCTCCTCCAAGTTGTCCTCTAATGGCATCTACCATGGCATCCACACACCTCCCTCATTCCCCTCACAAAATAAGTCAATACAGAAATGTAAAGACTAAAGGCCAAAACTCAATAGTTAACAGTTCCTCTGTGAAAGAATGGGGGAAGAGTATTTTTTTTCTTTTAATTGTTCATCATTCAATTGTACTTAGGGTTTCCATCCTCTGCCCACACTGCTTCCTTTACAAATCTA